CCAATACGACACTCGTCACCTTGCCGATTGTAATTTACTTCACAAAGTTGTTGGTGCCCAATACTCGCAACACTAAAATAATTCAACAAGATATCTTTGTAGTAAAATGTCATTTTACTCTTGATTATTTTATTTTATTATTTTATTCCCCTTACCGCCTTGAATTTCAAATCGATTATATATCGAACTGTGTTTTCCTTTACTGTGTGAAAATAATGAGGTCATACTCATGTCACAATACTTTGAAGCTGATGCCATGAGACTGCGAACCTGAGGCCACGATGATGCCACAAAATAGGCGAGGCGAGCACAGCTTCAATTTTCAATGACGCGAAGCTGATGCCACAATGATACGTTGCTGGGGCGACAATAAAGCCATGCGTAGGCGACAATGATGCCACAAAGGCCAAAGCTTTCGCGAGAACTGTACTGTATGCTGGTTTACTAAACGCTTGCGTATGGAAAATGGTTAACAATCTTGTCTGCTAGCAATCTCCTGCTTTATGGTCCCGTTGGTGGCGCCATTTCGGCAACACTCGTAATGCCGAAAAAACTCGAAGGTGACGGGAGAGGGGGGCGTGGCCCGGTTTTGGAATATCATTGACTGTTTACCCAATTTATATACCATTTTCACTTGATTTTTTTTCATAATGTTGTTTATAATTATTTTTTGCACACAAAAAAGTCAATTGGCCCAATTCAGTTACACTTTAAGATTAAATTGCCATTACAAACACGGAAATACTTTCCTTTTTCTCACAGAATGTGAAAGCGGTTCATATGGACGGAATTGTAGTGAAACATGTGAATGTCTAGACAACGGAATCTGTGATCCGGTCACTGGGAATTGTACTTGCATAGCAGATTGGCACGGAAAGTATTGTAAAGGTAAAACTGCCATCATTTACTTGGATATTCAAGTAATGCATCCACCCGCTTGAACTCGCATTGACCGTGAAGTCAAATTATATTTTATATATATATATATATATATATATCATCATTGTCATATCGTTTATTTTTTACAGTTGAAGTAGCCAATCAATCAAATATGATAGGCGTAATAACAGGCGTAATACTTGCTGCTTTTATCGCAGTTTTGGTTATCATAATTGTACTCAAGCGCCGTAAACCGAACGGATCCGTCTACACCTCTGCATCGGTCCGTCTTATGATGCTTGAAGTAGGTAGTGAGACACAGTCAGCTGTCATACAAGTGATCCAATAATAATTTATTTTAGTATCAGTTGTATCCCAGATGAATGTGCAGAATATTAAAGTTTTCCGTCCATATGTGTGACGTTGTGTAAAATACCAAATTCCAATTGAATTCACATCAATGTGATATTCACTCGTGTTTCAGAATATTGCAAAAACAGACAACGAAAGTGTCGACGATGCCATGATACAAGATATTACAAAGTGGATAATTAAAGCATCTGAATTGGATATCGGTGATAAAATTGGTGAAGGTGGATTTGGGGAAGTTTATAAAGCCCAATATAAGAAACTTGAAGTGAAGGAAATTAATGTTGCTGTCAAAATGTTGAAATGTAAGTTTTTCAGTTTGTGCATAATAATTTTTTGAGTGTACGTCTTTTTAGAAAATTCAATCGACTTCATAAGTTAGAATATATCGGCTCTACATCAGCATAATATTATGTGGTATTACTATAACATATTGTCTTTATATGAGCCGTACATTCATATTCTGTAAAACTGGTTTTGTAGCCTCCACTTCCAGAACTGAGGAGAAAGCGCTATTAACGGAGGCTTATAATCACATCAAACTAGGAGTACATCCGAATATTGTAAATTTACATGGAATAGTTGTTGACAGCGGTGAGTCGCAGATTACGTTTTTTTTTAAATTTCCACATGTCAGACTATTATTTGTGTTGAAAATTAGGATTTTCACATTTATTTATTAATTGATGAAATGCACTATAAACTTTCATCTGATAAAGTCAACGTAACATAGAATGTCATGTAAGTTGGTTCATGGCAGCATGGAGGTAGAAAACTCCATGTTGGAAGGTACTAACGGAAGGAGCCACGACGCTATTGTTTTAGCTTTGCCCCATGATCGTTTGTCAATGTTTGTTCACAAACATTGGTTCTGTTCGCTCTTAACACCTTCGTACAATGGGTTACGCTAGTCTCGAGCATTCGGTGATATTCGGAGCAGGGTGATTCGGAGCATGTTCGGAAGCGATAGACGAACCTCGCATGTAAAATGCTGAAAATGGCGTCTAGTTTGAATGCTGTTGTTTCCGGAGGTCTTGGTGAACTTTAATGAAAAATTAGCAGATATAACATCGATTGGAGAAGAACTGATGGACTATCGTGAATCTTTTTGTATTTGTAACAGTGATGAGACTTAATCAATGATTGCCTGTGATAATAACGACTGCATTATTCAATGGAACCATTGTCATTGCGTGGATTTGACGCCCGAAACTATTGAAATTTTTGACCACCGGACATCGGCGAATTCACCACCAGAAAAGATAGTATCAAAAGAAGGGCATGCCTAGACACTTTCTCTGTGATAATATTTTTTAGGAGTCCTTAGGAATTTTTGTTGTAGACACTCGAAATCTCGTTCTTGTTACAGTTGCTAATAACTAAAACATGTGAAATCTGTGAGTCAAA